TATTTACAACTTAGGCAATTGGCCGGGCCTTTAATTAATTAAAGTTTTTACTAGACAGACGCAATGAGTTTTAAAATAACTGGWTCTTCGCTCTTTAGCCGACCCCATGCAAGCTCCAGCGTCCTTGGCAGTATTTTGCGCGAATTATCTTGCGTCTTGAGGTATCTTGCGTGTTGTATTGCCAAGGAGTTAGTTAAGCACTGCCACGAGATCTCTAAAATTAGTACTACAACAACAACGCTTGTCAATTGCCAGCCAATCAACTGGTGTGAGCAGCCAGCCTGTGGTTTGTCGCACAGGCAAACTGAAGAGAGCACTCTTCCCTCATCTCGCCACATCCGTCTCTCAATACACAACGGAACTGTGTCAGCAAAAGCATGGTAATCAAAACGCTTACTAAGCCAAATRCCAAGACTCGCTGGGGAATGGACACTCTACTCTAAGACTCAATTAAAATGGAATTTATTTTGCGGTCTTCGTGCCTTTGCAGCCATSCCAGCATCGCATGATTTTTCTACTCTGTTCGTTGTCATCTTTGTGTCGCTTCTCAGCAGTACGTCGCTTTGGTTTTACGCTCATTTTTCTCAGGCTTAAACAATGATTTTAATTCCATTGTTTCGGCATCTGGCGTCTTTCAATATTTACGCTTTCAATTAAATTGTTGTGTCTTTGTTTGCGAGTGTGTGTGTGTGGGGCCATACTCAGCTATGACCTAATACCCGGATGGGCTGTAAGCCACTACTAAACGTGCGTCCGTATTTGTGTGTGTGTGTGCATCTATAATGGCAACGCACACACGCGCACATGTCACACAGTTGTGTCAATATGTTAAAGCATCACTGGAAATGCTACTAATTATAGGTGTGCTAGTGTGCGTGAGTGCGTGTAGGTGTGCAGTTGATTGGATTACTATTTGACTGGCACTGCATCTATTGGCCTAGTATATATGGTATGTATGTACTTATATATTTGTGATTGTTTTTATGAAAAATAAATGCTAAAACGCATTTTTAGGTAAGCGAATATCAAATATCCGAAAACCACAAATTCATAAAATAGAAAACCGCATTTTTGGTGCGCTCCTGTGGCATTGTGTGTGAGACAGATTTATCGCTACGATTTCATTTTCAAAACAACCGGCCTGACATCTGTTATAAATTGTGCATACCACAAAGTGGTGCAGTCGAGTGCACGTGTTGTTCTCCCTCAAAAACTTCGCAGATTAATTCCGAGCATTTCGAATGGACAAATCAATTGTGGATGTCTTGAAAATAAGCCCTTACAAAGCACACTCTCAGACTGTGTAACATTTCATAGCAGCCCTCGAATATACCGAAATGGCAGCTTAAGTAGTAAATTAACTAACAAATATAGTGAGGCCTCCTATGAGATACTTCCGCACTTTGTAAGAATCCAAGGCGTACAAATAGTGCTAACGGCAGGTGTACTTTGTAATTTCAAAAGCTTCTACTAAGTCTACGTTGGTATCTGCATATACGAATTTGGGAATCGTATCAAACTTCATATCAAAATACGTTCCTGAGCCAATACTTAATAAAATGCTAAGGCTTAATCTGATCAAATCCACTTGTTAGAAGCTTCGACTAATAGAGCACTCTGATTCTTCAGGGGATTTTAATTTTTTCCACGTCTCGTGCCCAGTAATAATGTTTTTCATGAATGTAAGGCGCCTTGTTATATTGTCAAATATCTCTTGTGCAGTAAATATTGCAACTTACCTGACGTCGTTTTTGCAAAAGATTCAGGTATCTTGGTACGAGTCTAGCATTGACACGCTWCTTCCTAAATCMTTAATCAAAATGTGTTGAATCGATTCATAGGAGATGTTCAGATCCTCTGCTAACTCTGTCTTGTTCACACGATGAACTTCGAGCACTGTTTCATTATATCTTTCGACGTTAACGTCACTARCAGAGATGACTGAATCAATCGCATTAGGCAAGCTGTCGATGTCTTCACGACCTTCACTGAATACTTTGCGCCACACAAATACTTATATTTGTAATAAAATAGACTCCCCAAAACACTGCTGCRATATTTCTAACCATTCCACAGGTGAGATTTCATTGGAGCGCACAAAWTTTCAAGCAAGCTCATTGTTGAATTTTTTATGTTGAATATCTCCAGACAAACTATTCGCGTCAATAATAAAGAGACAGAGAGAAGATTAATAAAGAGACGTACTAATTGCTAAGTAGAGAAAGTTCAAAATGAAACAATTTTTTATGGATTCGGTTAACGTGCAGTTTAAAAAACCGGACCTGTTCAAATTTGTTGAGATGGCATTCTGTATATGGATGCTTGGACAATCCAAGGATATCAAACTAAAACATAACCAAACGAAATAAAAATTCACTTCGTTTCCAACAAACCGACGAACATGTCGGAATAAAGTCAACCAAAATACCGAATAAATTACTTGTAAATAGTTATGTCTTCTGATCTTCATTAGCTTCATTTATGTACCATCTTATAATGCGGSATAATATTTTGTTATTTGAGATAAGGAGAGGTCATAAACCGATTCTGTGTTAATGACCCATTGAGAATGTGATTATTTCTTTATTTCTCGATTTTTTTGGAGATTTGAATACGGGTTCGTATTACCAGATCGAGTATTTTCGTTTKATAACAACAGCTGATCGTATTGAATTTTTTGGCAACCAATTTTAAGCTTAACTGCTTTACCGTTATGTACATATTTGATAGCTAATATAGTAAACCAATTTCTTGCAGTTCTTTGAATTTTTCATCACGTCASTGTTTACAGTCATAACATCGAAGTCGTGGATAATTTCGTCTAACAGCATCAACACCAGCAACAATGTCAGCTTCGAAATCCAACGCAGGCAAYTGAGAAGTAAAGTCTTCTCTCGACGAACAAACACTCATCATCGTCCTGCTATATATGGTGCAGAGGTATGTACGTCATCATCTGATGTGTCGACGTTACGAGTTTTCGAAAGAAAGGTTCTGCGGAAACTTATGTTCCTTTACGCGTTGTCCACGGTTAAGCGAATTAAAAGACAGTGGCTGCGTTGGATTRGTAATGTCGTCCGAATGGACTCAGCTCTGAAAGTATTTGACGCAGTACCCGCCGGGGGAGGCAAGAGGAAGAGTAAGACCTCCTCTCCATTGGAAATACCAGGTGGAGAAGGACCTATAACAGCTTAAGAAGTGATCTATTTTTGAAGTGCATTGCTACAGCAAAAAAGGGGGTTATAGTGTAGAACAGGTTTTTCATTAGGACGCTACAAAAGTGAGCCGATAAGGACAGAAACCGACGCCATATTTTTCCCCCGCTCTTTTGAAGTTTCTCTGTAAGGTTTGTCATTTTATCAAAGAAAGATAAACGATCCAACAACGAGTTGAAATTATTAAAATTTACTACCGAAATTGGGAGTCGGTGACCTCAAT